GCCGATGCCGCTGCGGCGGCCGGGCTCTTCCCGGTCGCGGGTTATATAGCGCGGAGCGTGGCTCCAGCTCAGAGCCGTCTGGAAGCGCTCCGAGTGGCCAGCGGCGCTGCGCTCCGGAGCACGGTGCCCGAGTGACAGCGGTGGGGAGGGCAGGGCAAGGGGACCCGGATCGCACCGACAGTGCACGGTGGGCAGCTCTCGCGTGCGCGGAGCGAGTTGCCCCCTTCCTTCCCGGCGCTGCCCCGCACCCCCTCTCTCACCTTCCCTCAACTTGAGTCAAGTTGACAACTCGTGCGGCGGCCGGGCCCCGTGCCACTCGCTCGGCGTAACCCTGCCCCGGGGTGAGAGGGAGCCGCTGCAGCGGCCGCGGGGACGATCGGGCAGCGGCTTGGCTATGAGGGCAGGGCGCGTCGCCTAACTCGCGGCTGTCACCGCCGCTGCAGCGGGACCGGCCGGCCCGACGCTGCGGGACAGGCGGGCGGCCGCCAGCAGGAGGCGCCGAGTCCGGCGGCGGGCACAGCCTGGGGCCACCACGCCGAGCCTGGGCGGGAGTGGCCCGGCGCACTTGAGCCCCGAGGGCACCTCGGGCTGCAGCCTTAGAGTCCCGGCCGCTGTGACAAGCGTCCCCGGGACCTGGAGCTGTGCTGCCTGGCGCGGGGAGGGTGCGGGCACGGTGCTGGGTTCGTGCGGGGCCCCGGGCGTCGCAATGAACATCGTGGTGGAGTTTTTCGTGGTCACTTTCAAAGTACTGTGGGCGTTCGTGCTGGCTGCGGCGCGCTGGCTGGTGCGACCCAAGGAGAAGAGCGTGGCCGGCCAGGTGTGCCTCATCACCGGCGCGGGCAGCGGCCTGGGCCGCCTCTTCGCCCTGGAGTTCGCCCGGCGTCGGGCGCTGCTGGTGCTCTGGGACATCAACACGCAGAGCAACGAGGAGACGGCGGGCATGGTGCGCCACATCTACCGCGACCTGGAGGCGGCCGATGCCGCCGCTCTGCAAGGTAACTCGGACCCGCGCCCGCGCATTGTTGGGTCCGACATTTCCCTGCACCCCGAGCTCACCCCGAGAGGGTCTCCACGCCCCACTGTCATAGCCCAACTCTCGAGGAAAAGGAGCACCCCACTGGTCCTCTGGAAAGCGAGTGGAATTTGCCCCCTGATAAGAGCACAGTTTTCTAAGTATCAGAAAGTGTGCCAAACCTAGCCTTAACAGAGAGATACTGCCTCTTCAGGCACCACTCTGGGGTTTTCTAAACTCTGTGGGTAGCATAAGGCAGAGAGAACTTGTTACTACGGGTTTGGATTCGAAAGAAATGTTTAAGTCTGACTTGGATGCGGTATGATGGGAAACTAAAAAGTGTGTTTGGGAAGTTGTTCCCCGAATGAACTGAAGCATGTGAAGTCTGAACCGCTTAGACAGGCTGCATGGATGGTTTCACTATAACTTTAGCCAGGAGAAAATAATTACATTGTTTCTCCAGCCTTAAGTAAGTGCTTTAGTTAACCCCGCGCGCGACCGAGAAAGATTCCCTTCCTCTTGCGAAAGTGTTTGAAAGATTTCAGCCTCTTCGAAAACTTTTTTCATATTTTTGGTCACCCCAACCTGCGTTTTATGTACTTATTAACTAGCTTGCATCTGAAACTTATTTCAAAGCCTAAATGGAGATCATGACCAACTCTAGATATTAGTCTAAGAAATTTAATAGTGGCTGTGCTTTTCGGAAAACATTGAACTATATGAAGATTAACTTGGGCATCGCTCTCCCATACCCACCAATTGTTACCAAACTTACTGGCACTTGTCTTTTTTTTCTTTTTCAATGTAAAGTCCAAAATGTTAAATTTTCAGTGCTAGTGTGGAGGGACAACAAGTATGTGGTTTTGGTGCTTCCTGCCAAAACCAAAGAGATAACAATATTCATTTTCTAGGGAAGATATTTTGATGTTGATGCTCTTTGAGTTCTTAACGTCGTAAAATTGCATGTCTGTGAGGTTATTTCTTAGGGGAGTCAGGTACCCCAGTAAGAACAAACCAGTGACCTCCACTCTTTCAGAAGAAACCTAGAATTCATTTCTTGGCTTTGATTATTCTTTAGTTTGGATTTGTGAGCCTTGAAGTGAATTCTCTTTTGAAGGTAGTCATACTAAGTACCAAGAGCTGTATCTAGCCTGTTTCCTCCCTTCCCCCTCCTCTAAAAAAAAGAATGTGTAATGTGTGTTATTCTCTGGGTTGAGATCAGTTCTTTGCAGGTGCCTAGCTCTAGCAAGTTGATCCCATGTGGTCTACTTGTATTGGGCTTGTCACAATTACATGACTTTCCCTTAAGCAAAGTTGTCCAGTAAATTGCTATAATCCCCAGATTTTTAGGGGAGGAAGGCAGCTGTAAGTTGAGTTACTGGCAAGCTTCGTGGTGTTAGACATTTGAAGCTCACTGTAGTATTTTGTTTTGAATGATCTTTGTCCTACTGATTGTCATGTGACTCACTTTCTGCATCCTTTCTCTGTTCTATCCTCCCCTCGTCTGGACTTCTGGGGACAGCTGGGAATGGCGAAGAAGAAGTCCTACCCCACTGTAACTTGCAGGTCTTTACCTACACCTGTGACGTGGGAAAGAGGGAAAATGTCTACCTGACCGCTGAAAAGGTCCGTAAGGAGGTTGGTGAGGTCTCGGTCCTGGTCAACAATGCTGGCGTGGTCTCTGGACACCACCTTCTGGAATGTCCTGATGAGCTCATTGAAAGAACCATGATGGTCAACTGCCACGCACACTTCTGGGTGAGTCTAACCATCTTATTTGCATTTCTGGGTCCCCCTCGTGGGAAGGCTGGGAAAGAGGGAGGCTTCTATGCCAGCTTGAAAGCCACCTGCACTCCTCCACAAGCCATCTCTTTCTAATGAGCTATTCCCCCATGGTGAATTACAGTGTTTGTTACTTACTACTAATCATTGCCCACACCCCCACTTCAGTATTTCTTAAGAGGGTAGATATTGAACACGGTGAACTAGTTTGAAAGATTGCCATAAAAATAACAAGAGGGAGTATAAACCCTGGGTTTGTTTATTTAGCTTTCTGTTGAGTTTATAAAACATTGGGTCTTATGAATTCTTAAAGTCAGGGGTTAGGCTTCCAAATTACTGCTCAGCCACATTTTAGAAAGTGCCAGAGATTCTGAGATCAGCGTTTATGATCCATTGGGAGTAGTCAGGCCACCCAACAGCCACATATAATCTATCAGCCATCCACAGGGTCCACAGCATTGTTCAGATGGTAGACATCTCAGGACTTTGTCAACTTATAAGGTGCCTTTCAGATGAAAAGAAGTCACCTTGAAAAGATCACAGAGAGGGAAGGGGATCGTAATGGGACCTGGAGAGCCAGGAATTTTAACAGCTTTTAGCCATTCGAGCTCCTGCAGCACCTAAGGATTGGGGGGAGGAGGGCATTTGTTGACTGCTGGCCATGGTAACCCTAACTTTTCAGCTGAATTGTCAATAAAGGTAGGTGTGAAACTCTCCCTTATAATATTGTGCAGTATTGATCCACTTTAGATTTTTTCCCATATTTTCCCTTTATTTCTGTAGATAGAAATGACTTAGTAAACAGGTAAGGCATACTGGGAGTGTAATTCAGAGGTCGAGTACCAACAGGGCATGTGGAAGGCCCTGGCTTTGATCCCAGCACTAAGGGAAAAAGGAACAGTAAGGAGGTAGGATTTTCCCCCATAGGCAGAGAAGTGTTCGGGTAGAATGCAACAAAGAACTGTTTCTCCCAAATAGGTCACATTAAACCTCATTAATTTTTTAGCAACTGCTTAAAAACTTAATCTGGCTTTAGAAGTATTTAGATGTTGCTTATCCAGTATCAAGCTTTTTCTCTGATCCTGGATGAACCTTATTTCACTATTTAAAATTTAAATATGAGCTTTATCTAATTCAGTTCCAGAACTCTAGAAATGAATATATAGCCTGAGGTAACTCATCACTGTATTTTAAATGAGTAAGAATATCACCATACGGTTTTGGGGAATGGATGTGTGCTCTTTGAAAACATGTACTTAAGTGTGCACTGGTTGTGTGCAATAGATGTGGGCAACAGATTAAAGCATTTTGCTGCTGGTTGTTCTACAAGAACAGGCATCGAGTGGCAGTGACTTGGGTGAGTAAAGGTCCATTGAATGCACTTTTCAAGGCAATGTATCAAGAATCCTGTGTGTTCATAATTCTGAGTGGAATAACAAGGCCAGACCTTTAATTCCAGCACTTGGGAGACACAGGCAGGCAGATCTCTGTAGAGAGAGTTCAAAGCTAACTTGGTCTACATAGTGAGTTGCTGCCAGCCAGTGCTATGTAGTGAGACCCGGTCTTAAAACAAACAAGGGCTGAAGTGATGGCTCAGCAGTTGAAAGCATTGGTTGTTCTTGTAGAAGACTGGGATTCGATTCCCAGCACCCACGTGGCAGCTAACAACCATCCGCAACTCCAGTTCCAAGGGAATCTGACTCCTTCTTCTGACCTCCATGGACACTGCATGACACAGATGCACTTACATGCAGGCAATGCACTTATACATGTAAAATTAAAAAAATAAATAAAATATTAACAAACAAAAAACAAGACTGCCATTTGAAATAAAAGACAAACTAACTGTAGGTAGAGTGTAGCTTCCATATCTGAAGCATGGTGGAGCTGCTGTAGAAACTCCAGTGGACTTGTCAGCCTTAAGAAGATACACTGGAGGTTAGTGTTAACCAGAGGCACTGTTTTTTTCCCCAATAACCTTTGACTGAGATGACGCAAGGTTTCCTAGCTGTAAACTTGTACCTTTACCAAGTTCCATCAAGTTTCACTATCTTGACTGTTCTCTGCACAGTTATTTTGCTAACTTGTAAAATTTTAAATATAACCAGGTTTTCAAAAAAAAACCCCACCACCTTGGGTTAAATACTTGTCATGGGAAATCAGTTTGTCTTTGAAGACACTCTAGAAAATGAGTGCTAATTAGAGTGTTAAATGCAGAAAATCCACAGCCTTACTGGGAAAATGTACACAAACTGATGTACTTCTAACATCAGGAAGAAATCCAACCATACCTCTAATAAGGAGATTATTCTGGAGCTGACTCTGTATGCCAAGGGTGAGGGTACACCTTAGCATCCTCGCTGTGCTTCCAGATGTTGCTTAACCACACAATTTAGGGAGTTCTTGGAGGCCTTATGGGTAATGACGTCACTTTGTATTAAAATATGGGAGGCTCCTGAATTCTACAGCTGTTTTTCCCCTAAGCATCTAAACTTAAGAATTTATTTTCAATATTGAGTCAGAAAATTCTGTTTAGTGTTGGAATTTCTGACTTCCTGCCAGACTTACTAAACCTTAGGATAAGTTGAGATTGAGATTTAGCAACTAAAATGTAAAAGAAGACTTATCCTAATTTTTGCAGGGATTGTTGTGGAACTTTAAGCAGTCCCACTGAGCCCCTCTTCAGCCCTGCTTCCCTTCTACCAGTCTTCCTCGGTAAAAATGGTGGTGGTGACTTTTCAAAGATTTTAGCCTTGGCCTGTGCTGTTCGTGTTCCAGAAAAAAATAACCAGTGTGTCTTTACTGTGCCTGGGTGGGGAAGAGAAGTTGCCCCATCCATTTTTAAAAAGTAGATTTGCTGAGCAAAGACTTCATTCAGTTATTTGAACAGGTCATCTTGTGCCAGACTTTTAAGTAATAGTTAATGTCTGTTTTCATCAAATAAGAAGTTGTATGTTGATCCTGACTCAGAGTTAGAGCATAGTGAAATAGCAAACCATGTGACTCTGTGAAGGTGCCTTCCAGTTTCAAAGCATTCTGTATGCTAGTCCCTGCCTAGATCTCCCTCTCCTCCACCTTTTTCCTTCACCTTGTTCCTTCAAAGGTCCATTTCAAGTTCATAGTATGACCTTCCCTCCTCATGCCTGCTCTTCCTGGCATTGTTGGGTTTTACTGCTGTAAGGAACCTTAAAAATTGTCTTATTCAACACCTGTTCCCCCCATGTTGGGGATTAAACCAGGGCTTTGTACATGCTAGGTGAAAACTTTTACTTCTGAGCTATACCCCCAGCCCACCCCCTTATTTTCCAACAAACCTGCTTCTTTCCCCTTTCCATGAGTTTTTGGTAGCATTTGTTGTCATTCCTATGGTGCATAGACTTTTTGTCAACCTTGTGTCCTACATCCTAGGGTGGATGGCAAGTGTCTAAAGGCAATTTGTTATATGCCTGTTTGTCTTAGCCTGCCTATAACTGTATTCTTACTCAGTTGATAAATATTTGATTATATGTAAAAGGTTTCTGGTTAAATATTGAGAAGTTAGCCTGTTCAGAGAGCCCTTACATGGGTCCATGCTGTGAATTTTGAAAGGGTAAACATCATGCTGGACTAACTCAAGCTGTCCAAGATTGACACTTCAAAACAGCTAGCTTCCATGCCTTGTTTTTATCTCCTTTTGTTTCCTCCCCACCTTCGGTATCCCTCTTGCCCCATCTGTGTGCTCATTTTGACTTAGGGTGCTAATCCTATTACTTGGTATAAGGCTAAGGACTTTAAGAAGGCTGCTAGTGGTATACTAATTTAAATCAAGCTCAGATTCAATGTAAGGCAACCATCATTTTTTTTTTTTTTCCTCATGACCAGGCCTTGAGAAGAGAACTGTATAGCAATTCCTTCCCTCCCTCTTAGCTGTATGCATTCCTACTTTGGAGACTTTTCCAATCCCTGTCATCATTTGGCACAGTTCTCCAGTCAGCTGTGACAGTGTATAGGGTTGTTCTACCAGTAGAACTCCAGGAAGCTTTTGGTCACCAGTTAGGAAGTAAATGTTGAGGACAGGCTTTCTTCACCCTGCAGTACAGTTAGGACAAGACCATGAAGGACAAATGCACTTAGTGTGAAGAGAAATCATTCATGCAAGTGCTCCCTGTGTCTCAACTTGAAAATGCATCTCTGTTCCACCCTGAGACGTGGAAGCCTGGCCTCCACACAGTGACTGCAACCCCTTGTTCCCCCAGAATCATTAACATCACTCCACTTGTTAGTTTTCCATTGAAGGAGGTGAATCTTAGCTCGTTTCTCAAAGTCAATGTTTGTCTGGAGGTCCTTTTGACCACAGAGCTGTATTTGGCTTTTATGAGAGCAGCAAACTGATCCCTGATTAACCAGAAGGGGAAAGCAAAAGCATTTAATGCCAGGTCTATTATGTTCAGAAGAAATTTTCCACGGTAAAGGACTAAATCTGTCAGATAGCTAGTTGGTAATTTACTTCTATTGATATGGTAGTCAGACAAGATAATTGGTAGTTAATTAATAGACCACTTAACTTAAAAGGTTTCACAGTTTTAAAATACTAATTACTGAATTAGGCATTTATCTATATCCAAATGTCTAAAGTCTATTTAGTTAAAATCCATCCAGGAAAAGTAAAATCCCAGCAGCTGTATCTGAGTAATAGAGCACTTACAGCCTTCATTCAGTGCTACCTTGTGTCTCATCACATGCAAAGTTCCCATCACTAATGTATGAGTTCTCATGTGACTTACTGGTTTTCAATCTGACATGCTGTATTCCTCTATTCTCTGATGAGAGAAATCTAGTTTTGTTTAAGCTCTCTTAAGCTTAGAATTTAAAACAAATCATATCTAAAGTACTCAGATAAAATTGTCTAATGCTTCCTCCTCCATGCCATAATACTATAAAGGTAAATATTTTATAGAACAGCACATCCCTATTTTAAGATTGCTGCTGAAAGCATA